CATTCTTTTCTTTTTTGTACCAGGGATCGAACTCAGGACCTTGAGCTTGTGAGGGAGGTACAGGGCCACTGAGCTAAATCCCCAGCCCCGGAGGTTCATTCATTTGTTCTCATCCATTAAGTCCCTCAGTGTTTTATCAGACATCACTGTGAGCCAGGCCCAGTGTGCGGCTACGTGCTTAGGGAACAAATAAAAACCACCAGGGGCAACCTCATCACCCCTCCGAGTGGGTGCATCCTGGGTGGTGTGAGGTCGCTGAGAAGAGCTGAAGAGCAGAGGGCGGCCGGGCAGGGCTTTTGGAGGAGGTGGCTGCTAAACAGAGCCTTGAAGGTCAAGAACGAATTTATTCATGGTTGAAAAGTCTCTTACTGAGTGTGTATTTTTGAGACAGGTTAAGAAGTGAGGAGGAGCTGGCATATTGGCACACACCTATAATCCCAGTACTCTGGGAGGCTGAGGCGGGAGGATTGTGAATTTGAGCCAGCCTCGGCAACCTAGAGGCTTAGCAAGCCCCTGTCTCAAAATTAAAACAAATAAAAATGAAAAGATCTTGGGATGTAGCTCAGTGCGAAGGCCCTGGGTTCAATCCCGGGAGAGGAGGACATTGTAGGGCAAGGGACATTCTCGAAGGTACACTGAGGCCTGGGTGTGATGGTTTCAAGATGCGTGGCTGAAAGGGACTGGGCCCCTCACATGGAAACCCTTATCCCTTGCTGGAGTTCAAGTTTTCCCAAACAAAGTGGGGACCCACAGGGCCTTCATGGAGCATTCACAGAAGCACCACGGTGCAAGCCAGCAGTGAGGGTCTTGGGGGCAGGTCCCGTGCTGGGAGCCCTCAGAGCGTAGCTGGGCCTGAAGGACGAGCAGAGGCTTTGGCAGGTATGGGGTAGGCATTGCCCCTGTGACAGGCTCGGGCCCAACAAGGGTCCTCTTAGTCCGGAAGGACAGTTTGCTCACAAAACCATCCGAAGGGGAGGACCTGGGAAGGGCCAAGCCTGGTGGCCTTGGCAGATGAGTGACCAGCAGAGGGCAGGGGCAAGGACACTCTCCTTCCCAAGACCTGCCCAGTGGCCTCCAGGAGTTCTTGGCCATGGAGGACGCAGACCTTTGCCACCCCTCGTGACCAGCCGCTTCTCCCTGTCCTCTCCAGCACTTCTCAAGCTGGTCCCATCTTTGGGACAAGTAGAGTCTGCTTCCCCGGAGCAGCCAGGAGCCTGGTGGTTATGGTGGCTGCTGTGCCCTTGGCTCTTACCAGAGCTCACTCTGACAGCGGTGCCATGGTCCCTTCTTGAGCTTCTCTGCTCCCGGTTGCCCAGCCCAGAGGAGAATGCTTGCTGTTCGCAGGTGGACATGCACTTCCTGTCCCTCCTCCCCTGCACGCCTGTCTGCTGTACTTGCTGGGGAGCCTCTCCCCTGCTCCCTTGGCAGACTCTGTTTTTCCTTCAGAGCTTCCCCAGCCGCAGGACTATATACACAGTTGGAGTGCTGAGCCCGGACCAGAAAACTGGCTGGTAGCTTCTGTTCTTTTGATCTCAGTATGGGGTTTTTATTTATTTTTCTTTTTTGGTGGATGTCAATATGTCGCTCTTTAATTTTCCCTTTGAACGTAACAGTAGCCTCAGGCTCTGTGAGGTGAGGGTACCAGTGGAAGCTCTTCCCTGCTATCCAGCCCCCACAGACACCGTCCATCTTCCTGTAACAGCTCGGTGGGTGCACCGGTGCTCTGGACTTGACGAGCAGGCGGAGCCAAGGAGGGAAACACAGATAGCTGGCCTCGCATAAAGGAGACAAAATTGGTACCTGGAGTTTGCCTGGAATGGACAGGCAGCGTTGTCACTGTCTGTATCACCACAGAACGTCTTGGGCTTTTGTCTTTCTTCTTGTAGAGCTTGAGAGGGCAGCATGACACAGCTGCATATACTCAGGGGTCAGGTGGTCTGTGTCAGATGAAGCAGGGGGCTGGCCCACGTAGGGAGCAGGAGGGGACGGTTTGCAGTAGATGAAAGCAAATGCTACACAATGAAAGTCAAAGGCTTGAGACTGAGAAGCAGAGGGAGCAAGGAGGTGGCCACGATGGCTAAGCTTGACTGTCAACTTGACTGGCACGAGAAACTCTTGGAGGGGTGACTGGATCACGGGGCTCTCTTTCCAGCCCTCGCTGTTTCCCAGTTGCCATGAACTAAGCAGCTTTACTCAGCCATGATGCTCCTGTCTTGGCGCCCGCTGACCATAGACTAAAACCTCTGAAACCATGAGCCAAATAAACCCCTCTTCGGGTTAAGTTGAGGGTGTCAGGTATTTTGTCCAGCAATGGGAATGCTGACCAATACAGAACATTGGTACCAGAGAGTGGGGTCATTGCGGTGTCTGTATCTGACCATGTGGTTCAGAAGCCTTTGGAACTAGTTTGTGGGAAAAGTTTGGAAAGGTTTGGAGATACGGGCTAGAGAAGCCCTAGAATGCCATAGACGGAGTTTAATGGCTGATTCTCATGAGTGCTTAGAAGACCAGAATGTGCTGATAGGAATGCAGAAAATAGAGGCCACACTTGGGAGATTTCAGACGGGAATGGGGACTGTACTGACTGTTGGACTAGAGGAGATACGTGTGTTACGGTTTACATCTGAGTGTCCTCCCGAAGCCTCATGTACTCGTAGGCAGGGCTTTTGGAAGGGGATTGGACCACGGAGGCACCATAACTAAGTTGCTGCTAGGCGCTGGGGTCTGCTGGGAAAAGGCAGAATACAGCGAGAGTGACCTGGAAGGGTGTCTCTCCCTTCTTGGCTCTTCCCTTCCCTATCTTCTTCCTGGTTGCCATGGCATGAGCAGCTGTCCTCCACCCCGGCCCTTCTGTCATGCAGTTTCTATGTTTGAGCCTGTAGGGCATGGACTGAAACTTCTAAAATGTGAGCCAAGATAAACTTCGCGTCTTTTAAATCGTGAATATTAGGTATTTTGTCCCAGTTATGAGGAACATGACTAAGACAGCACAAAAATTATTTCCATTTTGCCTATTTGCCAAAACTGTGGGAGGCTGAGTTTGAGAGCCAGTAGACTAATTGATCTGGGAGAATATTTTAAGGCAACCCAATGTTGAGGCTGTGGCATTGTTATTGGTGGCTGCTATTTCCTTTTCCTTTTCCTTCTCCTTCTCCTTCTCCTTCTGGCTGTACTGGGGACTGAACTTAGTACCTTGTGCTTGTGAGGCCAGCATGGCGCCACTGAGCTAAATCCCCAGCCCCACTGGTGGCTGCTTTTAATGAGATGTATATTGAGAATCAAGAACAAAAAGCAGAATAGAAGTATTTGCAAAACTCAAATTTTGGCTCCAGAAGAACTGCATGTAAAGTTGGGACCAAAGGAGGTGTGGTTGCTGAAGAGATGAATGAAATTAAAAGGAGACCAAGTAATTTGAACTAGGACAAGAAGAAAGGTGCCTTGAGGAATCAACAAGACTCCATCCATTACAGGCTCAAGGGTAAAAAAGTATAAACCTTTTCTTTGAGAAGATAGTCCCTGGGATTCCTGCTCTAGAAAGGCCATCTAGGGAATTGGTTCCCTGGGATTAATTTCGTCATGCTCAGCCATCGAGGCAGTCAGAGGCTGCTGAGGTCATGGTCTGAGGGGCCTGGCTACTGCTCATACTGGCAGCAGACTTTCCATAGTGTGTGGCCATCATGCTAATTTTTCAGAAATGCAGAATGCAAGAGTCAGGGGTCATGGAAGCTTCCACCCAGATTTCAATGGAAGGCCTTGGGTGGCCAGAAATTTGCCTGTGAGAGAGCAAGTGTGTGAGGCTGTAGAAGTAAAACCAAAGGTGCACATCCCAGGAAGTTGGAGATATCAGGAACGTGAGATAAATGCCGAGGAAAGCTGTAGACAGTGAGTGAGCCAGCCCGAGAGAGGCCGTGTGGGCTGCACCCAGCAAGGCCCTAGGGGCAGGGCTGCCCAAACCCTTTGGAGCTCATGCCCCACACCATGTGCCCTCGATCCCGGACATGTATAGGACTTCATGTTCACCCCTCTGGCTTCCAGTCTCTCCTTGATCCACTTTTTTTTCTTTCCTGTTGTTCTTTACTTTTGGAATGGGAATATTTACCCCGTACCATTGTATCTTGGTATAATGTAACTTGCTTTGCAGTTGGTATAGAGGTGCACAGCCAAAAGTTTACCTTGAGTCTCAGAGGAGACTTTGGACTTAAGACTTTTGAGCAATGTCAAGACTGTTTTGGCTTTGGAGAAGGAATTGGTGCATTTTGGTTGTACGCAGGGTGGTTACATTATGTTATGTGGTTGACATTATTTTCTCTTTTTGGAGATCAAATGTGTAAGGCGATGTGTTTGGGTATTCAGTTGGCAAGAAGTGGAATGTGACAGTTAAGCTTGATTGTCAAGTAAAGTAGCTTTAGAGACTCCTAGAGGTTGGATTATGGGTTGCTCTTTCCAACTTGCTCTGCTTTTTGACTGCCATTAACTAAGCAGCTTTGCTCCACCAGGCCCTTCTGCCTTGGACCAGATGACCATGATTTGAAACCTCTGAAACTTTGAGCCAAGTAAGCGCCTCTTTAAGTTGAGGGTATCAGGTATGTTGTCTGGCTGTGGCAACACGGACCAGTACAGCAGCTTGGGACGCTGCGCCGGGAGGGTGTCCAATGGAGAAGATGTCAGTGCCCTGAGTGGCCGCCTGCTCCCCGCTTCCCATTCTGTGTCCCGCTTTGCCGCTGGGCAGGAAGAACCTGGCTTTCCGTCTCTGTCGCTTGTACTCCTTATATATGAAGCGAGGAAAGTGCAGTAACGACTTCATAGGGTGACTGTGTTGTGTGGATGACGTGATGAACACCTGCAAAGCTCTGAGGACAGTGCCGGGCACGGGGAGGGGCCAGGCGTGTTCAGTGTGGTGATTGTTATGAAGCTTGCAGTCCGGCAGTCTGAGGACAGGAACGGAAGAGTGGCACCCACTAGCACCTTCCTGTGTGGCCCTGCTGTGACTATTCTAGGAAGTGGCCAGTGATTTTCATTTTCTTTCTTCCCTTGAGGACACAGTGGCTGCTGTTGTTCCACAGTGGGACAGCGTCCCGAGCTCTTCCCTCTCTTGCATCATTCTACGCCTTTGCCAACCCTGGGAGGCTGACTAGGCACCATTGCTGTCCTTTGGTGGCCACTCTGCTGTGTCCCTAGCAGCTGGTCCTGGGCTGGGGGCAGGGACACGAGGAGGGGCCTCCCAGGAAGTGGGGAGCTTTCTTTGAGGCAGCTGAACCCTGTGGTAAGTTTCCTCCTTCAACCCAAGTGGGCTCCTGTGTGCCAGGTGCCCTAAATACCCCTCCCCAGAGCCACTCTGGGTTGCCTGGCTGATCTCCAAAGCCTCTCGTTATTTCTGAGCCAGGATGACCCCATGGACACCCGGGGCTCAGAAACTCTAGTCATTTTCCTTACAATTTGGAAAATAGGAGAAAGCAAAAGAAAAAAAAAAGAAAAGGAAAACATAGCCCATGAACTTAATCTACTCACTTAATACATATTTTCTATCAGTCTTTTTTTTCATGCATAACATTTACTCTGTTGAATTCTGTTTTGGCAAATGTTCCTTGAGCCACGCATTGTGCCATGGTGGTGCCCGAGGTGAGTAGACTCAGCAGCTGCTGGGAAGGAGCTCAGACTCTGGGGCTGGGACATCTTGCCTCCTCTCCCTGCTCACTGTGTGACTTTGGGCATGTCGCCTTTCGTCTCTGTCGCTTGTGCTCCTTGTATATGAAGTGAGGAAAGTGCAGTAATGACTTCATAGGGTGACTGTGTTGTGTGGATGACGTGGTGAACACCTGCAAAGCTCTGAGGACAGTGCCGGGCATGGGGAGGGGCCAGGCGTGTTCAGTGTGGTGATTGTTATGAAGCTTGCAGTCTGGCAGGAGGGCAGAAGATGGTTTCTGTTTTGCTGTGCTTCTTAGTGCTGGAGATGGAACTCAGGTGACAGCCTGTTCTGGTTTGGGTCTGGATGTCCCCCCAAAGCCTCATGTGGCATAGGCTTGACCTAGAGTGTGTGAGGCTGGCACTGATTCATGATGCAATGCCAGGCTCAAGGGCACTAGGATGAAGGGTGTGAGTGCTGCCCGTCTGAAGTAGTCTGGATGAGACAAAAGGGACAGGGAGACGCTGTTAGCGCTCTTGTTACCTTCGCTGCCTCGTGTGCTCCACATTATTTCTGCTCTGCCTGTTTGTCGTCCTTGCCTTGGAGCTGGCTGATCACGGACTGAGACCTCTACCAACTGTAAGCCAAATAAACCCCCTCCCCTCTAACTTTGGGTGTTGGGTGTTTTGTCTCAGCCATGAGAGAAACGTAACTAACACACGGCTCCTCCAGACACACAGGCAGAGGACAGTCCCTGTGTCAGGTGGCCATGTGGCCGTGCGCAGGCGCAGAGGTGATCGTTGGCGTGGCTTTCTGGACAGCTGTGGTCTGAAGCTGAGAGCTGTGAGGCCGGAGCTGGGTTGCGGGGACAGCCTGGTGTCCTTGCTGTTCACAGAGCAGGCGTGGTGTGGTGTGTCCTCTGAGCTCTTCCTGCCTGGTTGCAGTCCTCACTGTCGTAGCTTCTTGTGACCACACAGTGCCTCTGGGTGACGGTTTCCGAAGACCTCTGTCCTCTTCCCACCGTGGATCAGTGCATCGCGTGCCTGCTGTGTCTTTGTTTTGGAGAACTTTCGTGGGGCCAGGTCCCACCCATAGGGTCCTTCCCTTACCACCCCGCCCCATCTTCTCTGTTTTCAGGGCTCCAAGCATGGGAGAATACAGGGAGCGGAGAGGATGTATGAGAATACATCCTCATTTTATCCTAGCTATTTTCATTTCTCCTCCTTTAAGGAGAAGAAAACTGAAGCCCATGGTGTCCTTACAACATATCTTACTAATGATCCCCAAAAGAGGGATGTCATAGTGCTTTTTAGAATGTTTTCAGAGCTCGAAGCCTCAGTTTCCTTATCTGTAAAAGGGGGTGATCAAAGTAAAGCCAGCTAGTGTTCATTAAACATTTACTGTCTCCAGGTGCTATGATTAGGCACCCAGTCCTCAGATTACAGTTGAGGAAACAGACCCAGAGAGTTTAAGTAACAGTCACACAGTGGAAAGTGGCAAGGCTGGGATTTGAACCTGGGCTCGTTCCACATCTGTGCTAAGCTCTCAGCACATGGGCCTCACATGGTTTGTAGGTTAAATGCACAGTAGGTGGTCATCTTAGTCTCCTTCCCATTCCTGAGACACCATACCGGATTCCTGCAGCTTAAAGGAGGAGAGGTTTGTTCGGGGTCACAGTTTCAGTTCCTGGTCAGCTGTGCCGGGCCACAGCAGAGGAAAAGGTGCTCAGTCCAGGGCAGCCAGGCGGAGCCAGGGACAGGACCACACCTTCCCAGGTCACTCCCCTGGTGACCCACCTCCTAATAGCACACCTGGCCCTGAACTTGTTCACCCCTGAATCCACTGTTGGGTGGAGCATCCCACGACCCTATCCCCTTCCACACACACGAGGCTTTGGGAGAACATTTTAGATCTAAGCCATAATAAGTCAGTAAATGTCTCCTGGTGTAATCACAGCGGTCTCCCCAGAGGATATCTGGCCCCATAAGTAGCACCTACTACCATATATCTAGCACTTTAGGGCTTGGCCATGTCCAAATCACAAACACCACTGCCCTCAGGCTTTGTGGCTATTGTTAACTCCCTCAGATGTCAGCATTGCAGCACCACGAAGGCACCCTGGTAACCGGGCCGGCCCCGAGTGACTAACAGGCCAGTGCTATGTGCGGTAGATGGTGTGACAGAGGAAGGGATTCACACCCCAGGTGGGACACAGAAGTGGTGCAGGATTTCACCATGCTATCAGAAGAGTGCAGTTTATATCTTACGAGTCATTTATTTCTGGAATTTAACATGTCATATTTTCAGACTGTAGTCATGGAAACCACAGAAAGCAACACCCCAGCTAAGGGGCTGTGTGGTGAGGTTGACCCCTACTTATTTAGGTGATGCGAGGCCTCTTGGCTTTTGTCTTCCTCTGTCCCCATGGCTCCTCATTGCCTGGGCTGGAGCATGATGAGGCTGTGAACCAGCATCCTCTCCGATGCCACTGCCCCCCAGGCATCCACACTGCTGCACTGTGCTCACCGACCTCCACTTTCAGCAGGTGACACTGTGGCCCAGAAACAGGGATGATTGCCAGGATTTGATGCCAGTACCTTAGGAAGGCAGTGTGCTTCCTGGGGAGCCAGTAATTGAATTCTGTCACCCAAACCAGGCCCTTCCTGAGCAGACACGCTGACTGAATCGCCCCTGCACCTCAAACCCAGTTTTGTGTATCTGAGTCTTCGAGCTCAGTCTCATTCCAAGGAGTGGCTTCTGTCAGCCTCCTTGGGAACCAGGACAGCAGGGAGCAGAGGAGCGAGGCAGACACTTGCTGTCCTTCCTGCCAGTGGACTCTGACAGGTCCTGGTCCCTTTTTTGTTCCTAGTAGAGGGGACGCTAATTTGCTTGTGGACTTGAAATGACCTGTACCTGGCTCCTTGGTCGCCAAGTGTTATTTCTAGAACTTTGGTGCTGAGGGCCCCGCACTTACCAGGGCTTTAGGTGGACCTGCCATCTGCCGTTGATGGGGAAACTGCGTCTCTGCCCGAGAGACTGGGCAGTGAAGGGCGTTCTCTGCATCCCCAGCCTGGTGGAAGGCTCTGGAGTCCCCCTGAGACCTTCCATGCTGTCTCTCTCTTTCCCTCCTTTCCAGGTCCCTGCAGGCCTAGGATCCAGGGGCAGCACCGGTGAGGAGTGGCCAGATGCCCATGCAGGACTTGGCTGCGTGTGGTAAGGTGGCCTTGGGAGACCAAGCCCAGCTGACCAGAGACCCCATTTTCTTTCAGGCTGAGGGTTCGGGGTGGCAGGGCCTCCTTGCCTGCTGCGCAGAGGATGCAGTTCTTCGGCCGCCTGGTCAACACCCTCAGTAACGTCACCACCTTGTTCTCAAATCCATTCCGGGTGAAGGAGGTGCCCCTAACCGACTATGCCTCAAGTGGCCGGGTTCGGGAGGAAGGGCAGCTGATCCTGGTCCAGAACGCATCCAGTCACACCTGGGACTGCATCCTGGTCAACCCCAGGAACTCTCAGAGTGGCTTCCGGTGGGTGATAGCAGCTGCATCTCTCCTTCAACTCCCCGGGCTGGAGGTGGGATGGTGGGGAAGCAGCTCCTTCAGGCATCTGTCGGAGGCCTGGGGAGTGAGGAGGGGGCACCACTCAGGGAGGAAGGGTGTGGGGAGAGGCTGGGTTGTTCCCTGTGTAGACAGACAGAGGAAGGCGGGGGGCCTGAGGAGGGCCAAGTCAGGTGAGGCCTGCTGTGGTGACCTTAGCCCCGGGTCTTGGAAGGCATACATGTCCTCCCAGGGCCGGCCAGGCTTTGTTGGGCACCTGTTAGAGCTGGCCAGGCTGGGACCCCTGAACTCGCAGGGTTGGGTAGGGAGCCAGGACAGCCGAGGGCGCTGGGCCAGCCACAGGGCCAGCTAGAAAGAGACAGGCGTGGCTAGGCCTGCAGTGTGGGATCTGGTGGGGCTCAGCAGACCAGTGGAAGGTTGAGGGGGATACATATTGGTGTCCCTTTTGTGCTTCTTGCTCATCCATCCCACGTCCCATCCCATCATCCATCCATTCAGCATATGCTGGGCACCTGTGCTGCAGTGGTCTCCAGAGTCCCGGGCCAGGGGCCGGGCCCAGCTGGCCTTGAGGTGACACACATGGTCTGTGTCTTTAAGGAACATGTAGAATGGTGATGAGGCCACCTACTCACAGGCTGCATAAATCTCTGTGAGGAGCCCACAAGCAGGGACACAAGAAGCTGTCACTTCCAGTTGGGCTGGCCAGAGCTGTGGGAGCTGCTCTGAAAGAATGATGAGGGGTTGTCTGGCAAGACAACATGGATAGTTGTTCCAGACCCGCGCAGGTGCACGGTGCCCAAGGAAACAGCTGGGGTTGTTCCGATTGGGACATGTGAGACCATGAGTCTCAGGAGATGGCACTCTGAGGACCAGGGCCCAGCTTCCAGAAGAACAGGGCAGGTGTCATGGCCCCAGTCAGTCAGGTGAGACCTCAGAACCTGGCTCCTCAAGAAAACTGAGGCAGAGGCCCCCGGAGCAGGCCCTTGGGCTAAGAGTGCCATGCAGTGACCATTGCAGTGACCATTGCAGACGCCAACTTCAGCACAGCAGGGCTGGCCAGATGCTGAGCAGTGGCGTATACCCTGCAGGCTGCTGGGAAGGCGCGGCTGGCTAGAGCAGGAGTCCACTTCGTGGTGCGCACTCAGCCCTGTTTTCTTTTTATGTGTGTGGAATGAACGAATGTGCTGTTTTCATTCAATTCTGGGAGCCCAGAGCGGTGGATGCCTGTTGGGTTCAGGACAGTACAGGGTGAGCTGGGAAGCCGGAAAACAGAGGTGGAAGGCAGAGACTGGGCTGCAGGAGCAGAGGTTGGGAATGGCAATGCCAAGGCCAAGAAGTGTGACCCGGAAGGGGGGCTGCGGGCGGCCACAGCTACAGGCAGGGGTCAGGAACACACCGGGGGACTGCGGTTCTCATCCAGGGGTGGTCAGTGCTTTTTTTTTTGCTCTAACAAAGCACCCAAAGCTGGGGACTTACAAAGAAAGAAGGGTAGTTTACTTCGCAGTATCAGAGGCGAAAGTCTTAAGAGTAGGCAGTCCCGTTCATTGGTCCCTGACGAGGGCCCCTTTGGTGGTGTCCCAATATGGTGGTGGCATCATGGAAGGAGTACATGGGGATGATCACAGGGCAAACCAGGAAGTAGGGAGTAGGGAGAGATGCATCTCATTCTTTTTATTTTACGTCTCGGTTTGTTGAGACAGACTGTGTAATCCAGGCTGGACTTGAATTCACTGTGTAGTCCAGGCTGGCCTCAGATTTGCAGTGATCCTTCTGCCTCAACCTCTTGCGTGCTAGGATTACAGGCATATACCATGTGCTCAATCTTCTCATTCCAACTTCTGGGGAGAATAACTGCAAGACCAACATGGATCCCTTCCACTGGGAATGCCCCCACTGGCTCATTGCCTCCCACTTTCTTTTTTTGTTTTTTTGAGACAGGGTCTCACTATGTATTCTAGGCTGGTCTTGAATTCACTGTGTAGCCCAGGCTGACCTTGAGCTCACAGTGATCCTCCTGCCTCAGCCTTCTGAGTGCTGGGATTACAGGTGTGCGCCACCACACCCAGCTTGCCTCCCACTCTTAAAGCTTGTATCACCCCTTAATACTGCCCTACTGGGGACAAACCATGGAAGCTGGGTGGCCACTGCAGCGTCCCCACCTCCTCTGAACACCCTGTGGTTTAGGAGGGGTGCTGGGTCTGCTAGGACCCCTCCCTCTGTTATCAGTTTACCTTCCAGATGTCTCCGGCTCCTTAGGGGATGGCGTGAGGCCCTGCTGAGTCCTCAGGCTTTGTTACCTAAAGCTCACATCACTTCCTCTGGCTGGAGATGTTGGAGCCGCCTGTGTAGATACGGATGGCGACACCAGCACATCCCACGGTATCTTTCATTGGTGCCGACTGCGTGCCAGGAACTGTTACAACATTGACTCACCGTGCCCTCCTGTGGCCCTGGGAGGAGGGGTGTTGCTGATGAATGGACCCCTCTTACAGATGAGGGGATGCAGGCTAAAGTGGCTCCCCCAAGGTTGCACAGCTGTTCAGTAGCAGTCACCCATGCCCTAGCATCCTGGCTCTAGAAACACCCTGTTTTCTCACCCCAGGCCCCCCTTGCACAGTGACAAGCTGGCAGGGCACTGATCCCTGCCTCACATACGACAGCAGCTCCCAGACGGCACTCCCTTGCTGTGTACCTTAGGATACCGTCGATACCTCCGTTCCTGATATGAATTAATCATCTACCACTGACATTTACTCTGACATATGGTGTTTGATGAACCCAGCAGCCGCTCACTGGTATCTTGGCAGACACGGGGCTGTGCACAGCAGAAAGGGTGACCACGCCATGTGGGACACCTGCCTTTGTGTCCCTGTGGGGAGCTGACTTGGGGACTCTCTGGCCAGGGCTATGCCATAGAACCGGTTGTTAGGAAATCTCAGGTGGCCTGTGTCCAGCCACAAGCCCGGGGACCGCTCCTCCATCCACTCATCCCCCCAAGCAGAGGGAACAGCAGTAGGTAGCCCAGCAGCCAGCAAAGGCTGGTCTGGACCCAGCATCCAGAGATGAGTGTTGTCCTGGGACCCTGTGAAACTCCCCGTCACCGCGTGCCTGTGTACACGTCGCCTCCCCGCAGGGTCCGGGGCTCTGTCCCTCCTGTGTTCCCAGTGCCTGTGTGGTGATGAGTCCATGATCCCCAAAGGGAAAGTGCTTGACAGACCGGGGGGCCGCTGGTGCCGCTAGAGTCTGGAGGACCTGACTGGGGGAGGGCAGAGAGGAAGGAGCGCTGCGCCGTGCGGGGCATTAGACACCCCTCTAGCCTGGTAGCTCGGGGCCGCTTTTGATCCAAGACCCCTCGAGAGTTCCAAGGGAACTTGTCCTCTGCCAAATGGCTTCCGCCCTTTTGCCTGCAAGTTCAGGAGCTTTGCAGACACACCGAGCTCAGCCGCAGGCCTCCCCTCCGCACCCAGCAGGCAGAGGCCACTCAGCAGACTCCGGCAGCTCACTGGGGCTGTGTCCTGGAAGGAAAGACACCCCGCGCCCCAGTGCCCCGTCCACCGCAGGCTCTGTCCATCCCCTCTGTGACCTGTCGGGTCCCCCAGGAGGACCCTGCCCTCTGTAGCTACAGCCTTTCTCCCCTCGGCCCTGACCCTCAAGCTGTCCTGCGATGCCACCCACTCTTGCCAGCCTCTGTGTGTGGCATTCTGTCTGTAGCCTGGTATCGTGCCCACAGCCCCACCACAGAGGCAATTTCCCATCACCATGCGGATGTACTGTTTGTTCTTAAAACAAATGAAGATTCCCCTCCCGATGCCACTTGCCCTCCAGTCGCTGCCCGTATCCAGCTGTCTTTATTCCTCTCCTCCTATTCTCTCTCTTTAAACTTGTCAAAGATGATGAACTGTAACATATATACAGAAAAGCGTATACAGCTGTGACTTAGCAGACACCTCTGTATCACTGCCTGTGTCAAGAAATAGAGCATCGCAGTCCCCAGAAGCCTGCCTTTGTCCCCTCTGTCCTATAGAAGGTAACTAGCCTTCCTGCGCGCGCGCGTGTGTGTAGCTGTGGGAGTCACAGTTCTCCCAGGAGGAGCCCGTTGTGTGACCGCAGTCACATTGCTGGACTGTGTGTACTCACGATGGCCGTTTAGGATTTTATGGCCCAGTGACTTCATCTCTGTCCCTGTTTGTATCAGTGTCCTCGGTGAGGTCTGCACAGTGGCACGTTTCTCAGAACGTGGCCTTGTTCAGCAGCACATGACTGTATTATGTCATAATTTTATATTTTATGAAACTTTAGATTATTTCTTGCTTTCTTGCTGCATGTCATATGCGTGCATTTCTGCTCCACATTGACCTTACCAACTTTCGTAGGTAAACCTTCATTTCTTTTTCTACCAGCAGTGAGTAAGTTTCTCTGTTGCTTTGTATCCTCTGACACTGGGTGTCATCTGCTTTAAAATTTGTAGCCATCCTTTGGAGCATCCAGTAGCATGTTATTTTAGTTTTATTTTGCATTTGCCTCATTAAGGATGAAGATAAGGCCCTTTTGCTAACCATTTCAGTATCTGCAGTGGTTGTGTGTGTGTGTGTTCCAGATACACACCCTCTGTTGTTCGGCCTTGTGTTCAGTGTTTACCTTTTTATTATTATTATTATTTTTTTTTTTTTCCGGTACGGTGGATCCAACTCAGGTCCTGTGCTTGCAAGGCAGGCAGTGGAATTACTGAGCTAAATCCTCGGCTGCCTTTTTATGCTTAATGGTATCGATCGATAAACCAGAGTTCTTGGTTTTAATGAAGTCACATTTATTTCCTGTCTGTTTACTGGTGTGTTTGTGTGTCCTATTTAAGAAAGACCTTGATCTAAATACTTTCAGACACTGTCCTTCCGGGGCTGGCGATTTAGCTCCGTGGTTCCACCTCCTGCCTCATAAGCACAAAGCCCTGAGTTCCATCCCCAGTACAAAAAAAAAAAGCAGCAGTCCTTCTGTCTCCTATTTTCTGAAAATTAATTAATAATGCACATTATTTCTTTCATAAATATAGGAATCGTGGATGCCCCCGCCAGGAGCTGGAGTGTTTATGGGAGAGCTTTAGAAGATGGATTTGGTGTCTGATAGATTCAATCCCATCAGGTTTTCCTTCTTCCCTTGTCAGTTTTAGTGCTTTCAAGCAGTTTGTCCATTTTACCTCAGTTTTCAAATTGTTTGCGTAATTGTTCATAAACTTTTAATATATGGGGATCTAAAGGAATGATAGTACTTGATGTCTTCTGTGTGTCTTGTTTGGTTTTGCTAGAGGTTTGGCAATTTCTGAAACCTTTTCAAAGAACCAACTTTTGACTTTGTCCCCCCAGTAGTGGGGATTGAGCCCTGGACCGTCACACTGAGCTTCATCCCCAGCTCTTTTTACTTTTTCTTCTGAGACAGGGTTTCACTGAGTCACTAAATTCCCCAGGCTGAGCTCACACTTTTGATCCTCTGCCTCAGCCTCCCAGAATGCTGAGATTATAGGCCTGTGCCACCACACCTGCTTTTTTGTTTGTTTGTTTTTAATTTGTCTACTTTCTATTTCACTGATTCCTGTTTTTACTTTTAACCTACTTTTTTTTCTACCATATTTGTATTTTCTTTTGGAGATGAAAGTTTAAGTCTTTGATTTTTAAATTTTTAGTTAAACTCCACAGCATCCATGCTATGCTGGTTTTTTTGTTTGTTTTGGTACCGGGAATCGAATTGCGCTTAGAGGTGGATGGTGGAACCACTGGGCTAATTTAAATTTTTAGTTAAACTCCACAGCATCCATGCTATGCTGGTTTTTTTGTTTGTTTGTTTTGGTACCGGGAATCGAATTGCGCTTAGAGGTGGATGGTGGAACCACTGGGCTAAATCTCCGGGCCCACTATGCTGTATTTTTACCATTCAATTAAAAATATTTTCTAGCCAGGTATGGTGGTGCATACCTGTAATCCTGGCATTCTGGGAGACCCGGGCAGAAAGATTGCAAGTTTGAGTCCAGCCTGGGAGACTTTGCCTTCTTATATGTTTCATTTTAGTTGGCTTTCTTGAGATGTAATTTATAAAAAGTAAAAGTGACTGATATTAGATAACCGTTGCTGGGTTTGGTAAAGGTGCTCACCATGTAACCTCCACCACAGGAAGATGCAGTCCATCCCTCTTGCCCTCCGACTGCCTCTGTGCTCTGTTGGAGTAAATCCCGTGCCCACCTTGGCCCTGGCAGACACTGACCTGCTCTCAGTTGCTGCGGTTTTCCCTTCCATAATGTAGAATGTGGTTTCTGAGTCTCACTCTTGTACTTAGTATAATTACAATTTATGACTGTTTTGTATGTTTTCACTTCTTATTAGCTTGGGATTATCCACTCTGCTATTGTCTTTTATGGTTTGTTTGTTTGTTTTGGGTTTGTTGTTGTTTTGTTTTATTTTTTGGTAATACTGAGGATTGAACCTGGTGCCTTTTGGCATATTAGGCAAGTACTGTACCTCTGATCCACATCCTCAGTCTTTTTTGTTTGTTTGTTTGTTTTTGTTTTTTTCTACCAGATTCTTGTTACATTGCCCAGGCTGGCATTCAACTTGAGACCCTCCTGCCTCAGCCTCCCAAGAATTTGGGATTATAGACATGTGCTATCACACCTGGCTATATCCTCCTCCTTTTTAATGTATTGCAAAATAAATATTTCCCTGTTCTTTTAATCTTATTTCAGTCATGCCATCTTACATCCATAGATGTACCATCATTGACATGACACTTTATTGCTGACATTTAGGTAACAGTACTTACTTAAATCTCGCCATGTACAAAGCCAGAGATAGGAGGCTGGGGCTCTCAGGTGTGATGATTGAATTGGAAAAAGGATACAACAGGGTTTGGTTTAAAGAAAATATGAAAGCACCGCATGATGGAGGCAAGAAAGAAAGAGAAAGCCAAAGGAGGAAGAAAGAAAGGAGAGAGAGGGAAGGGACGAGGAAAACTTTTCAGATACAAAGAAGCCCAGCCTGAACGGTATTTGGGGGCCACATGTGTGGCAGGGGTGGCCAGCCTGAACCGGCTCAGGACAAGCAGCGGCCTGTTGGGGGTCCCAAGGCATCAGACTCCTCAGGGCCCCGCTCTGTCCCGGCCGCAGACTCTTCCAGCTGCAGTCGGAGGCCGAGGCCCTGGTGAGCTTCCAGCAGTTCTCCTCCCAGCTGCCTCCCTTCTACGAGAGCTCCGCTCGGGTCCTGGACGCCGAGGTCCTGCAGCACCTCAGCGACCTCATCCGCAACCACCCGAGCTGGTCTGTGGCACACTTGGCCGTGGAGCTGGGCATCCGCGACTGTTTCTACCACAGCCGGGTCATCAGGTGGGTGGGCTGGGGCCCGGGCCCGGGTGCTGTGAGTGTGGACGGGTGTAGGGCATGTGAGTCTCCCTGTTCGCCTCAGTTCCCTTCCTGTTATTTCTTTCTGCCCCCACCCCCAGTACTAGGGATTAATCCAGGGCCTTTGCACTGAGCTCGTCCCCAGCCCTTTTCACCATTTTTTTTTTTTTTTTTGAGACAGGATCTCACTAAGTTGCGGTCCCTGGGTTAGAACACAAGGCTCTTGCCCAAAGTCAGGAGGAGAAGCATAGAATTTCCCAGTGCTTACAGAGATCTAGCCCGTGGGAGCTACTTCCCACCCACCATGAACTTGGAACCCCCACCCCTATGAAGTGTCATCCTGTGGGACCTGCACTGGGCCATCAGCTGCAGAAGGCCGAGCAGGGCCCCGCGCTGGTGTCTCCTTTCAAAGGTGGGCCCAGAGCTCGCAACCTTACCACGCTTTGTGGTTCACAGGCAGCATCCTGGACCCCATGGTGATGCTTCTGTCCCTTCCTAGCACAGGCACAGTGGGCATGGTAGATAAGGTATTGAGGTCCGGAGATGTTCAGTGTGTTGCCAAGGCTGGTGAGGTTCTTGTGTTCAGTGACCCTGTCCTGTGTCATTCCCTGCCTACCGCACCCTGGCGTGACCATGGGCCACTTGCCTTGTAGAGGTAGGCAAAGTAAAGTGGACCTGAAGCAAATCACATCAAACACAAATAAGTTGAGACAGCCCTGACTTTGGACCAGCCAGGCTTGGAGCGTGGCCTGAGTGCTTGAGAGCGTCCCGGTTTCCTTGTCCTGCTTCTGCACTTGGGTCCCTCACATGATGGCCTCCCTGCCCACCCCCCAGCTGCGCCAACAGTACAGAGAATGAGGAAGGCTGCACCCCACTACACCTGGCCTGTCGCAGGGGTGATGGGGAGATCCTGGCGGAGCTGGTGCAGTACTGCCACGCCCAGATGGATGTCACCGACAGCAAGGGAGAGACCGCCTTCCACTATGCCGTGCAGGGTGACAGCTCCCAAGTGCTGCAGGTGAGCCAGGGGCAGTGCCTGGTCTTGCCCTCACTTCCCTGAGCTCAGTGCTCTCCTTGGGCCCCTGGGTTCAGACGTCACTTTGGGCCTCTCTCTCTGTGCCCCACTGAGCCAACAGCTGGGCTCTGCTGTGGAGGGTGCACAGCTCTGCCCACCTTTTCCTGCGTGGTGCTTGTCTTAGAACCAAACCCAACCAAACTCCCCCCGGCCCCTGTAGGCATTTGTGCTGAGGGCCATCCTCCTATTCAGTTTTTCACCTGACAGACTTTTTTTTATTGTGGCCAAGTAGATGGAGTGATGTAATTAAAAAGCTACTTTATGTCTTAGATTGAAAGGAAATACAGAATACTGGATCATGTTTTATTGTCTAGAGTGAGCAGGTCCTTTGGAAGCTTCTGTCGTCCTCTCTGCCTCAACATCAGGGTTATTCTAGGAGATACAGATCACTGTCCTGTGCTTGGTACCCCCAGGAAAGGGCATTCCTCAGCCACCTCAGGGTAGGCTGGGCCCCAGACTCCTGAGGTGGTGTTGGGCTCCCTGGTTGCTGGCTCTCTTGGGGCCAGCACCGATGTGTGCTTGGCCCAGCATGGAGTGCCGGGAGTGACCTGTGACCTAGTTAACCCAGAATGTCCCCTGGGCTGGGTGCATGTCCTCTGCTCCTTACGAGGGAAACTGAGGTTCAGCCAAGGTAAGAAATGAGCCCCCTGTGGGCTGCAAAGCCAGGGACGAGGCTGCCTCTGGCTTCCAGGTTGGGCGACAGCCCCTCGCCTTCCTGGTGTCCCTGATGTCACTGGCCTGCACACAGATGGAGACCTTGCCACCACAGGTACCCAGTGGTCGTGGTTTGCCTCAGGGCTCACCCCAACAGGAGAAGATAAAACCCCGCTCAATACCTGACAAAGAGCACCTGTACCGAACGTGCTCAGAGGCGCCGTTATCCCCGAACAGCGCCATGCCACAATCCAGACGCCAACCACACATCAGTCAGGACTCTGAGTCGTCTGGAGGTGACGTGAAGTACACGGAGTAGATGAGGTGGCTGCATTTGCTGTCCCAGCTTCTCAGGAGGCTGAGGCAGGAGGATCTTGAGTCTGAGGCTGGCCTGGGCAGCTCACTGAGATGCTGTCTCATAGAGAGAGAGAGGGAGGAAGAAAGAAAAAAGGAAAGGAGGAAGAGAGAACGAACAAACAAATGCGCGGACAAAGGGGAGGGTTATGCAAGGGACTTGAGTATCTGTGGATTTTGGTGGGGCCGTCCTGGAGCCTGTCTGTCTGCAAATACTGAGGAACAGCTGTTTTCTCTCTCTCTTTCTCTTTTTTTGTTTTTGAAACAGGGTCTCACTGGGTAGTTCAGGCTGGCCTTGAATTCACTATGTAGCCCATGCTGGTGATCCTCCTGCCTCAGCCTCCCAAGTGCTGGGATTACAGGTGTGCGCCACCACGCCTAGTTTAAATTTCTTGACTGAGAAATTTTCATAGGAGCTACAGTCATGACGGAATAGCACCCCTGTCCCCACTCACACCGGTGCCTCCGTTCTTTCCTCCAAAGCTACCTCGCCCTGTCACTCCAAGTTCTCACCAGTGTCACCATGGCGTCAAGCCTCCCTTCTCCTTTGGTCCCCAGAGAGAGGTGGCCCGTGGGTGGGGGAGGGACATGCAGGGCTGCTCTGTGGGCTCCAGCTCAGCCATGTCCTGCTGTCAGCTCCTAGGGAAGAACGCGTCATCCGGCCTGAACCAGGCGAACCACCAGGGGCTGACCCCGCTGCACCTGGCCTGCCAGCTGGGCAAGGAGGAGATGGTGCGCGTGCTGCTGCTGTGCGGTGCGCGCTGCAGTGTGGGGGGGCCCAGCGGCTACCCCATCCACACGGCCATGAAGTTCTCCCGGAAGGGGTAAGGCCCGGCCCTCCACCCGCTGCCGGTCACATTGTGTTTTTTGAGTCATATGAGTCCTTTAGAAATGTTGCGTATTAGCCCTACCTCTGACCTGATTTGCAAGTTTTCCCACGTTGCCTTTTCACCTTTCTTACTGTTTCTGTTTGTGTGCAGCACTACTGTTTAGTTTAATGTAGTTCCATTTTATTTATTTTGGCCTTTGTTTTGCAGCACTGGGGATTGAACCCAAGGCTTTCACACTGAGCTACATCCCCAGTCCCTTATTTTTATTTTTATTTTTTTATTTTGAGACAGGGTCTCACTAAGTCAGTAACTTGCCGAGGCAAGGCTCAGACTCCCTGCCTCAGCCTCTCAGCGCTAGGGATTGTAGACACCACCTCACCTGGCCAGCTGGCTGCTTTTGTCACGGCTTTATTTGGGTGCAGCGCTCCCTTCCTCAGTAGGTGAAGTCTCCTCACTGCCTTTGCTCCCCTCTCCCCAGGTGTGCTGAGATGATCCTCAGCATGGACAGCAACCAGATCCACAGCAAAGACCCTCGCTACGGAGCCAGCCCCCTGCACTGGGCCAAGAATGCGGAGGTAGGCGGAGTCTGAGGGGAGCGGAGCAGTGTGGGCCCTTGGCCCGTGTCCTCTGCGTGTGGTAAGGGGCGTCCTGTGAGACTCACAGTGGCACCTGGAGCTGCTCATGTAGGGGTCCTGGGCAGATCAGCGTCGCGCTGCCTGGGTGGCATCCTGCCTCAGTCCCTTCGTCCGTGCACCAGCGTCCTATGGCCTGGCTTTGGAAGTGCTGTGGAGTCAGCAAGGCAGTGAAAGAGAAAATTCGGCGTGAATGGCAATGTGCCTCACAGATGGAAGGAGGCAGGTGATGGCCATGATGGTGGTGGTCTGGCTGTCCCCACAAGGTGCCTCCCTTCTGAGCTGTGTTCCTAAGCTGAGCTCTGTCCCCACGGGAGAATGGGGCCCCTGGGTGCTTATCACCAGGAAGCACAGCTCACCCGTGCACTGGGCATCCCCCAGATCCTGGAGGCCAAGAAGGAAGAGGCACCAGCCTCTCAGGGCACCAGGGAAGGTCACAGGCCATGGGGCAGAGCCCAGGCTGCCTTTGCAAGAAGGGATGGGGCTCTCTTAGCTCCAGGAAAGGACCAGAAGCCTCCAGAGTCACTCAGTCATTGGCTTTTTGTCCCCCAGTTCCTGGGGTGGTGATGAGGGAGCCAGGCTCTTGGGCACCTCCAGATCTGGCGTCTGCCCCCAGAGGCCAAGGCCGCTCATGGAGGAAGCAGCCATGCCCAGGTGCCACAGCCACAGCCGCTCCCTGGGAGCCGGCACTGACTTGGCCCGGCCTGCCCCCCTCAGATGGCCCGCGTGCTGCTGAAGAGGGCCTGCGACGTGGACAGCACCAGTGCCTCGGGGAACACGGCCCTGCACGTGGCCGTGATGCGCAACCGCTTCGACTGCGTCATGGTGCTGCTGACCCACGGGGCCAGCGCGGACGTGCACGGGGAGCACGGCAACACCCCGCTGCACCTGGCCATGTTGGTGAGCCGCCCCCACCTTCCCCCGACCCCCAGAGTGACACACAGGCACCGTGAGAGGGGAGATCCAACCCTGCCTGCTGACTGTGACCCTGGGTGCGACACAGGCCTCTCAGCCTTGCTGTCCTTGTCCTGAGAGGACGGGTAGCAGGCCCGCCGTGGCTCCACAAGGGACGCCACATGACATGTGCAGTATGTGGCGGGGAGTGGGTGGCTCCTTCCCTTAGCCCAGGAAAGAGTCTCCTTGGCACCCCGCAAGCCCCTGGGTGGCAGAGCCACTCATTGAGCAGAGTGGCCATGGTGGGACACTTGCTGCCCTTCCAGCCCCTACTGTCTGCTCAGACAGTGCAGTGTGAGCAGGTTACCCCATGGGGGGCACAGGTGCACACAGGTTTGCTTTCTGTGGCAACACCACGTGGACAAGTATCTGTGCAGCGAATCCAAGTCGGAGACCGGGAGGGACCCCTGAGACTCCATAAGAAGTTAGAGTCAGGACAAATGGAGAGACATTCTGTTCGGTATCAAAGGTCAGAACTGGAGACATTGCTGCCCCAGAGGGTGAAACTATAAATAGGTCCTGGAGAGCCCTGAAGAGCTCTCGGAAGGCTCTGCTTCATCGGTTTTCAAACTTTCTGGCCCATCTGGTCCCTCTACTCTCAATACTGAGGATCCCAAAGACCTTCTGTCCATAGGGATTTCATCTAGCTAGATTTGCCAGAAGTGTAAAATATTTTCAAAAATATTTATTAATTCATTTAAAATAACAATAGTCAACCAAGCGCAGGCAGCTGCAGTGATGTTTTTATGAAAAAGAACTTTATTTTCAAAAACAAAAAATAAGTGATGAATGAGAAGAGTTGGCCTCATTTTACATTTCTGTGAATCTTTTTAATGCCTGCTTCACAGAAAACATGATTGTCCTGTCTCCTGCTATACTTACTCAGCTGCAGTATGTTGTTGAAAACTGCAGAAAAGCTGGCCCCATGTGGATATGTAGTTATACCTTTGTAGACATGCATACTCCTTTGATGCTACACCAAAAGCCGACAGTGGCAGGTTTTTTGCTTTTGTTTTCACTCCTGGGGATTGAAGCAAGGGCTTTTGCCCTGACCTACGTTCCCAGCCTCTCTAAAGACATTTTTTTTTACTGAGACAAAATTTCCCTAAGTTATGAAATTGCCCAGACTCAGCAACGGTCTGGTCATCCCAGCCCTCTTTGCCTCCGCAGTGCTAGGACGATAGGCATTCTTTTGACACACTGGGCATAGCATCTGCATGGACTTTTCACACTCTGTCACATGAATGTCCGCGTGTATCTCTTGTACTTTGCAGGGGTTCTCCGGCCCACGCGTGTTTTTGTGTCACAGCGGCCTGTTTGACTGTACAGTACAGGCTGAGTGAGGGTCCCTGATCCAAGACGCTCAGAACCAGAGGTGTTTCGGATTTCAAGTTTTTGGAGTTTGGAACATGTGCAGAGACTTTTGTGCCCTTTGGGCATCCCTAATCTGAAAATTCACAAGGCTCGTCTGTGAAAAAGAAGCTGGTGTCTCAGACAGCTGTGTAACTCTTACTGCTTCATCAGGGGCTTTTTTGTCCCTTGGTGTTTTTTGTGAACTTAGGGCCTCATGCATGCTAGGCACTTGTTCCATCATTAAGCTGTATCTGCAGTCCTTTTTAAGTTTGAGATAAGGTTTTGCTGGTTTGCGCAGGCTGGCCTCAAACTCAGGATGCTCCTGCCTCAGCCTCCCAGGTGGCTGGGATTACAGGCATCTGCCACTATCAGTATAAATATCAACAAGATTCAAAGGCAGATCACATCTTGGCACTTGTATGAAAGCATTTCTAACAGACTTCAAATGCTGCCTCATGTGCTCATGGGACCCACAGAGCTTTACTCTGAGAACTGCTGACATGGCTCCCTGTCTCCAGGGTCCTGGTCCTTGACATACCTTTGGGTACGTTCATCACTCAGTGACTTCCTCAACTTGGCTTATTTTGAAGCATAATGAAGTATCTGGAAGTCAATGTTTTATCACTACCATAAGTTATAAAGCAGTGCCACAGATGAAAGGAAACCCAAGAGAAATAGAGAACCAGTGACTAACACACACGTACATACCCATGCCTCTAAAAATCCTAACGGAACATGGACTGCTTGGGAAGCCCCATTCTAGACCCAGCACTTAATTCCCTCGGCTGGACAGTCAGGTCCCAAGAAGAAGGGAAGTGACAAGACTTCTGGGTGGCCAGATTTCTAGGTGGCCAGTCTGCTGGTTTGTCCTGTGCAGCCCTGTCCTGCCCCTTCCCAGCCCCTGCCTCTGCTCCTCTGCCCGGAAGTTCCTGTGCCCAGCGCTCTGTGAAAGGAAACTACCCTTGCCGGCTGCCATTGGTAGTGTGTGTGCTCAGTTTCTCTGGACTAGGTGGACAGGACAGCCTTCCCAGTCCTCGCCCAGCCTCTCCCTGTCCCTCCTGAAAGCTGTGGGAGGTGGCAGCGTCTCTAGAATCCTGGATTAGGGTTGGGGTCCATCGCTTCCTTGAAGGAGGAGCTGCATGAGTCACCTTTAATTTCTGCCTGGAATTTTTTTTTTTTTTTTTTTTTTTTTGAGACGGGGTCTCACTGTATAATTCAGGCTGGTCTTGAACTCACTATGTGGTTCAGGTTGCCCTTGAACTGACTGTGATCCTCCTGGCAGCCTCCTGAGTGCTGGGATTACAGGCATGTGCTACCACACCTGGCTCTGCCTGGATGATGATGATGATGATGATTTTGGTACTGGGGATCGAACTCAGGACCTTGTGCAGCGGAACCACTGTGCTAAATCCCGACCCTATCTTTTTTTTCTTTCCCTGCCTGGATTTTAAGCCCTTTCCCCCATGTATATTTTGAAGCTCATTTGTCAAGCATGGACCTACAAACCCTGGAGTTCCAACTGGGGATGAGGAACAGGGGAGCCCCAGCAACCTTTCCCTTGCTGCTGAGCAGCCCATTGAGTTAGTTGATGAGTAGGGGTCCTTTTCTGTCCATTTCCCTGAGCTGTTGCACCCCCCCATCTAACAGAAAGACAACGTGGAGATGGTGAAGGCCCTCATTGTGTTTGGGGCAGAAGTGGACACCCCGAATGACTTTGGGGAGACTCCTGCCTTCATAGCCTCCAAAATCAGCAAACGTATGTGCTCTGCTCTCCGGGACCAGAGTTGGGTGGAGGTGGCGCGTGGTGCCCGCATTGAGGAGGAGGGAAGTCCCAGCCGTCAGTTTCCGGACCTTCCCATCTGCTGAGAGTGGCAGGAGCCCAGCAGGACTCACACAGGCAGCGACTTTCTCCTCAGACAGGGCCCCTGAGCAGTAGGTGCAGGTTCACCCAAGGCTTCCTGAGCCAGGGCCTGTTCCACGCAGCCCTGTCCCATCTTGGGGCGTTCAGGCTCCCAGTACTGGTGGGGATGGGGTAGGCAGTGGTGGGACGGTGGGGTTAGTGCATGTGCCTCACTGAACAAGCCCAGTGCATGCGCTCTACGCATGACACACATGTGCACGTGCTGTGCCCTTGCCCAAGCCTGGTTTAGAGCTAGAAGCCGTGGGTCCTCTGCCTGGAGCCTCTGCAGAGGGCTGCAGGGAGCTGTGGGGTTACTGCGGCATGTGCCTGGTTGTGTACATGGCCTGTGCGTGTGCTGCCCCATGCCTTAAATGGGGTGAGTCCCCACCAGCTGGTTTGTCCCTTTCAGACTCTGAAGGGAGCTGTCCATTCAGCATTTTGAGAACTGCCATCCATGGAGGTGGGGCACTGCTTCCTTGGCTGGAGTAGAAGGACAGAAAGGCTTTCCCCCGAGCAGGCAGGGTGACTCTGCCCTCCTCCTCTGGCCATGTCCCACACTCAGTCCCCAGCCCCTGCCCAGACTGCAGGAGGCTGCTGTGAATGTAGCAGATGAGAGTCAGCTGCCCCAGTCAGCTCGTGGGGTCCACGGGACAGGGTCCCTGTGTGCAGGGAGAGGTCTCTCACACCATCTCCATCTGTGCCATCTCCTCAATGCATGAAAGTCGTCACCAGGAGGGCATTCTTGACTCTGCTGAGAACCGTGGGGGCCAGCTGCAGCCAGCCACCCATCCAAGAGGCCCCTGCGGAGCACTCCTCTGTGGCATCGCCTCACCCCTGCTCCCTGGAGACAGCTCAGCCCCCAACCATCAGTTTAAGCAGCCTAGGTAGGCCACTCCCTCCCTTCCCTCCTCTCCAGCTGTGCTCAGGCCTTTAACTGGCTCTGTCCCCTTGGGAAAGAAATGGGACCCAGGGTAGAAGTGATAAAAGGAGAAAGGGACAAGATTAGCCAGTGTGGGCAGCCAGCACCTCGCAGCTCCCCGAGGCCTCGGGGGTCCTTGGCCAAGGATCCACGATTCGTCAGCCCCGAGAGGATGCCCTGGGCACAGGCTCAGGTTGGGCATTTCCCATGACACTCATGAGGTGGGCACTCTGGTGGTCTCCTGTCCTCTGGGAACTCAGGGAGGCAGTGAGGAGTGCTGTGAGGGCCCAGTCCCTGCTCTTTGACTTCAGTTCTCACGTTGAATCTGTCATGTGAGGCCGATACTCCCGCTGTTGGGCCCCGTGGGGGTATTCGGGGACTCTGTAAGCTTTTCAGTGTAGCCCAGAAATCAGCACTTGCATTTTTGGTGCCCTTGGACACGAGGATGCTGCTCTGGGCTTTCTGAACCTGACCCACTTAGGGACCGAGGCTGTTTGGTAGTGGGGTCCCTATTTTAGTATGTGCTACTGAAGACAGCACTGGGATCCCTAAACAGAGGGCACATCAGAGGAGGCAGACCCCAGCCCGCAAGTCAGGGTCCCTCCCATGAGGCGGAGCAGCGGCCACCTCTCTCCCTGCCCACCCCGTTTTGTGTTTCCATTTCACAGGCAGGCAGTTACCTAAGCCAGGCGGACAGTGGGCCTGGGGCACGCTGGCTGATAGGTAATGCTTAGGCCCAGAGGCCCCTGAGCCGGCCCTGTGGCACGTCAGCTGTAGTCTTGTTGCCTCCCCTCTGCTGCTTGGCTGTGCACGCAGACACATGCACCTTCCCACCCGCTCCCGGCTCTGTCCCCTGCCCCTCCCAGCCAGTCTCTCGCTCTCTGTGCCCATTCTGTGGCCATGTGCCTGGCAAGGGAGTCTGCCCTGCAGCCTGCCCGCCTCACTGCCTCTGGCTTCTTCACGGTGGTGGGAGGACTGTTGGGCCAGAATCACGGGTGCTGCTGGGCTGGGCCCCTGCGGCCATGCTGCTTGTCAGGAGGGTGGGTGTGGTGGGCCTTGGGTTCAGATGAAAGCTGTGCAGAGTGGAGGAATGGGCCTGAGTCCAGAGTCACTGAAGAGGATTTCAGCCTGGGGACCAAGACATGGGCAGTGTGAGGTGGCTGAGCGGTCTCCCTTTGTTCATGGAGCTCACCCCTGAGCAATGAGCAATATCCTCACTCAGCCCTGGTGGCTAAACGACCGTGCACAGTCATGGGGCTCGTAGACCTAGTGTGGAACCTGCCCCACTGTTAGTTAGGAACAGTGATTCTTACCCTGTAGGGCGCTTGTTAGGGCATCGGCGCTAATGCGGACAAATGCTTGGTGCCCAGCAGACCTCGGGATGCTTGGGCTTTCAGAAGGAAGACGTGGAGAATCTGGGAGATGGCCAGCCCCACACCCAGCCCGCTTCCCTTCCCAGCAGGCCCGTGGCCTCCTGCTCTGCTTTATCCTGGAGCCAGTGATGGGGGGAGTGGGGTGGTGACTCAGCTCCAGGGGGTGCTGGTCCCGGACCCACTGGCCAAGCACCCCTGCCTTGTGCCGCAGAGCTGCAGGACCTCGTGCACATCTCCCGCGCCCGGAAGCCACCCTTCATCCTGAGCTCCCTGAGGGAGGAGAAGCGGACGTAAGTGGCGTAAGGGCAGGGCCTGGGTGCCAAGCCTTGCCCAGCAGGTTCGGGGCTTTTGCTTGCTTTCCACCGTGCCCTTCGAGGCACCTCTTCTCCTCATTACACAGTTCACACAGTAGATGGCGGAGACCGAGTCCCTGGGACTGTGATGGTCCCTTCATTTGTAACCGGCAAGGCCAGCTCTTGGGACCAACGTCTGGGACTCTAGGGCCCCACTCTTCCCCCGACCATCTCAGCATGGGTTAGAGGAGGGTGTGGCTGCTGGGGCCCCTCTGGAGAGATGCTGGGCTCCACCTGGAGAATCTGCAGATTCCAAGCTGAGGCCTAGTGGGGGGCAGAGGAGCAAGCCCGAGCCTGCCCCCGACTGATGGAAGGTGGCACAGGACAGAGGAGCTGCTGGCCCGCTGACGCTTCCCAGAGGAATAGTAACCTTGCTCTGCAGATGCAGAGCCTGAGCCCCTGAGAGCAGAGCCGGGTCTTCCCGTCCGTGTCCTTTCTGCCACACACCCCGCAGGGAATGCACTCTTCTGTGTCAGAGGCAGCCCCAGCTCCCAGGCCCAGGCCCAGGCAGCCAGATCTCACTTCTAATTGCTCTGCACATGCAGAGCCTGAGCCCCTGAGAGCAGAGCTGGGTCTTCCCGTCCGTGTCCTTTCTGCCACACACCCCGCAGGGAATGCGCTCTTCTGTGTCAGAGGCAGCCCCAGCTCCCAGGCCCAGGCCCAGGCAGCCAGATCTCACTTCTGACCCCCCTCGCCTGAGGGGTCAGAGCCCTTGACCACCCACTGTTTTCATGGCCACCCATCATGTGTGCTTAGGAGGTGCCTGAAAGTGTGCTCGTGGACACACCACAGGGCCCAGGAAAGGCAGCCGTACCTGTGGGAACACTGGGTGAGCCCTGCACTCTCCAAGTGACTGCTCGGGAGAGTCCAGCTTGTTTGCTCTGTGCTTCCAGGCCAGGGATCTCCAGGCCTCCCCTGCCACCCTTTGGGCTGCTGAGGGGCTGGGTATCCAGGAGAAGGCCCCGGAGATGGGATGCACAGGCCTCCTCCACACCAGCTGTTTGTGCCTACTGGACACCGCACAGGCAGAGCCAGCCCCTCCTTTGAGGCACTGCTGGTCCTGGGGGGGACTGGGACTGACTGCTTACAGTGGCAGCCACCCCAAGGTGGGGTCGGGCCAGCCGTGCTGCAGGTCCTCCTAGCCTTGGTGCCAGCTTCTCATAGCACTGAGTCCACCCGGGATGGAGAGGTGAGAAGGGGCAGAGGGCAGGGCAGAGCACAGACTGTGTAAGTGTCTTCCTGGGCCCTTCTGGAGGGCAGTGCCTGTCGGGCTCTGTCACCTTGGAGGCTGGGCTGGGCAGGACCTGAAGCACCAGCCCTATGTCACCAGCTATGTAATTTTGCACCTGTCCTGACTCCTAGGGTTCCTTCCCTCGCTGAGAGATGGGCGTGTGCTTAGCAGGGAGTGGCCTCCTGGAGCGAATGCTGGGACACCGTCCTGCTCCCAGCCGGAGAGACCTTCCTCCCTGCCCTTCCTACCTTTCCCACCCCAAATGGAGGCCGTGACCCCCTCGCCACCAGGGGACCAGGCCTTCTGCCTCGGGCCTGTCTGCTTGCAGCTGACTTTCATTAGGCTCCTGCCTTGAGTGACCCTAGACCTGACCCACATCAGGCCGCTGCCCTCAGAGACAGGGAGGCCAACATGGGCTCAACAACAACGTGGCCTGCTTACCGAGGCGCCCCGCCCCCTCCCTCCTGCCGTCCTTTCCTCTGCACACACAGGGCTTTGTTCCTTCACCCCACAGTAGTACTAGGGCAGGCTCTGACAGCAGTGTCATGCGCTGGCCAGGGTGCAGATGCTCAGGGGACAGGGACTGAGCGTGCGGGCCCTGAGTGCTGGCAGTCAGAGCCCCCCCTCACTCCTGCCGCTGTCCTCACTGCAGCCACGACCACCTGCTCTGCCTGGACGGAGGGGGCGTGAAAGGCCTGGTCATCATCCAGCTCCTCATCGCCATCGAGAAGGCTTCGGGTGTGGCCACCAAGGACCTCTTTGACTGGGTGGCGGGCACCAGCACGGGGGGCATCCTGGCCCTGGCCATTCTGCACAGTGAGTGCAGCCCTGGGGGTGTGGGCAGGGCCAGGTGGGGCAAGATGTGCCCTCGGGCTGGGTGTGTCGGCAGAGCTTTGTAGAAAGGGGACAGTAGAGCTGGGCGTCGTGGTGCACACCTGCGATCGCAGCACTCAGGAGGCTGAAGCAGGAGGATCGCCATGAGCTCAAGACCAGCCTGGACTGCATAGCAAGACCCTGTCTCAAAAAAGGAAAAAAGAGAAAGAAGGAGGGAAGGAGAGAGTGGGTAATGGGCTAGGGCAGGGCCTGTGAATGCCATTGGGGGCTGCAGGTATTGGGGTCCCAACCAGAAGGAGGAAGACGGAGCGGCAGGCTCACTCGAGGGCAGAGCCAGCGAGGGAAGCATCAGTAGTCCAGACTGTGCCTCCATGGCTTCCTGCCGTGCAGCCCTGTGGAGGTGACAGGGTGCTCGGCCTACCAGGTAGCCGGTATCACGGTGTACATGACATCTCTGCATTGACCTTGGTCTCTAGGCCCCTGGCCGGTGACCCCTTGCCCAGTGCTGGTCAGATTGCATTTTCTCCAAAGCACTTTCCAAATCTGGTTTCTGGTGATCCAAAGCCCTGGAGGTCCACCCCCCCAGAGGCCATTGCAGCGTGCCCTGGGGTGAGGTCCGGGCTGGCATGAGGGAGGCAGAGCAGATGGGACACAGGCATCTGGGTGTTTTCTGGGTGATGTGAGACCATGCCAGGCAGACCATGGTGCTGCAGAGTCAGACGCAGCCATTCCAGGAGGCCACTGAGAGCAGCATCTTAGGAGAGTTGGGGAAGGGGGGTCATCAGGTACAGGTCACAGGGGACTTGGTTGCCCACTGCCGAAGGCCGACGAATACTTCATTTCATTTTAATGATTATCTCTGGAGCCTTGTGAGTTGAGCAGGAGGAGACACTGAGGACCAGAGGTCACCCAGTGAGTCAGAGCTTGGTCAGGCTGGTGTCCAGCAGTCCGCAGGGCTCACTCCCACAGCCTCAGGTGCCCAGTGCCCTGTCTGGTCTTTTGGGAACCTGACCTAGAAGGCAGAAAGTCGGGTCTTCACATTGGCAGGGGCCCCCGCCTCCCTGGAACAGTCACATCCTCCTTTGTGGACCGTTTGCTCCGTGTAAGGCCTTCAACTCCCAGGAGTGGTGGCCAAGGGTTTGGAAGACACCTACTTCCTCCCTCTACTTGCACAGCTCTGGCGTGGGGAACTCACAGCTCCCCAGGCAGCCAGGCAGCCACGCAGCACTGGGCTGTTCTTCCTGTCCTGTGACACGTGGGTGGATCTGGGTTTTATACACTTTTACACTCTCAAGGCTCTTCTTTAAGGAAAACGATGCAAAATTATGAATACAGAACTAGCACAGAGCCTTGGGCTGTGGAAGGGACTCTGCCCATGAGGGAAGTTGGCAGGGAAGGGCAGGAGGCCTAGGTACGGTCCACCTCTTGGAGATCCCTGACCTCCATGGCTTCCGGCAGTACTGACCCATTGTCCCCACTGCTGGCCCCTTGGGGCCCCGTGTGACCCTGTTCTCTCCAGCAGCCTCTCTCCTCTTCCTAGGCAAGTCCATGGCCTACATGCGCAGCGTGTACTTCCGCATGAAGGACGAGGTGTTCCAGGGCTCTCGGCCCTACGAGTCGGGGCCCCTGGAGGAGTTCCTGAAGCGGGAGTTTGGGGAGCACACGAAGATGACAGATGTCAAGAAGCCTAAGTAAGCCCCCGCCAAACTTCATGCTGTCCTGAGTGCCAGTTAGGCCCTGGGGTGAGACGGGAGCGCCCTGTCTCCACAAGGGGCTTCTCCGGAGGACTGTGGGGAGCAGAGGGCCCAGAATCTGTAGCAGTCCTCTGCCCACCCTCTGGCTCTGCTCCCTGCCAGGGCCTGGCTGCCTCCCTCCTGTGAGGCCAGCTATGTTGAGGCTGCACCCCGAGCCCTGCATGTTATATGGTGACTGCTTCTCATACCTCACGCAGCACTGAGGAGATAATAATCAGGTGGCTTTGGCCATGCCTGTAATTTTTGTATTTGTTTTTTTGAGACAGGGTCTCACTGTGCAGTCCAGGCTGGCCTCAAACTCATGGCAGTCCTCCTGCCTCAGCCTCCCAAGTGATTACAGGCATGTGCCACACCCGGCACCTGTGCCAGTAATTTAAGGGAGATGAACTTGAACTTGTACAAGTCAGGCAGGGCTCAGAGGAGCGAGTCATATGTGCACCAGGCATTGGTTTGGGGGCCCACACCCAAGGAGGGTCATCCCAGGCTGGAGAAAGGGGTGTTGCTTGGGTAGCCATCAGGTCTAGACCCCCTTTCCTGAGCTGAGCACCCCTGGTGCCCCGGGAAGCAAAAGGCGTGTGGTGGGGGGACTCCAGGCACCCTCTTTTTGGTGGGTGGGGATCTCACTTCTACAAACGCTGATGCCCTAGAACTCAGCCCTTTGCTCTTGCAGAAGCCTGGCTCAGTCTGCACAGCCTCCAGAGGCCTGGAGGGGTCCGTGTGTCCTTGGCCACCCCAGTAAAGGCAGCAGTCACTGCTGACACTTGCCTGATGCTGTTCCCGCCCACCCAGCCCTGGAGGGCTGTTCCCGTCCAGCTCCCATTGTGACCTCCCTGTCCTGTACCTGGCAGATGAAAGGCTGGGAGCTGTGCGCGGCCCGGCGGGGAGGGAGTTACCAGGACCGCAGGCCATGGGCCTCCAGCACGGTCACTTCTCTGCAGTGCGCCCACCCCAGGCGGGCACCAGATGGGTCCACCGCCTGACCGCCTGGGGTCTAGAGGGAGACGGTGAGGATGAGGTGGCCAGGGAGGGCAGCCTGGGGGTCCCTGTGTGAGCCAGGTCCCAAGGGCCGGGGAGGTTAGCAGGGCTGTTTCCATAATAAAACTTTCATTTTTTTTTTTTCCATTTTAGGAATAAGACAAATCTTTTAAGCAAAATTGGAAAATACAGAAAGTAAAAAAGAACAGTTTATTAACCAGAAAGATAATTTTAAAGCACCATTTTAGAAATTTTATTCTAAATATCATTGAATATATGTTAATATAATTGAAAATACACTTTTTAAAGTACTTACACAAATCTGGGCATAGTGGCACAGGCCTGTAATTCCAGCACTCAGGAGGCTGAGGCAGGAGGATTCACGGAAGTTCAAGGCCAGCCTGAACTACATAGTGAGACCTTGTCTTTAAAAAAACTATATGCACAGATTAAGGAATACTTATAAAGAAAATAGCCACATGACCCCGAAACCAACTCAAAGCCCCAACTGTCCCAGCTCAGTCCCTCACCCCCGGGACAGCGGTTCTCCTGGCCTGCACAAAGTAGACTCTGGCCTTTCCGGTTGTGATTGTCTTCTTCCAGTGCATCAGGGGACCACATGGCTTAGGCCTACTGCGCTGGTCATGGGCAGAATCAGATCGGTCTCCTTCCACATGTCACACTCGTCAGCGTCCTTCTTGCTGTGTCACTCAGTGTCCTCCCTTTGTTAGAGTCTGTCTTGTCCACAGGCCCCAAGGTCGGCTTCTCCGAGAGCCTGTGATGGACGCTCAGGCCGTTTGGTTTGGGGTTTGCAGGAGTCCTATGTATAGAACACTTGAGTTTGCTTTCTTTTTCATATGGTACCAGGGGTTGAACCCAGGCCCTGTCATTTTATGTTTTTATTTTGAGACAGGGTCTTGCTAAATTGCCCAGGCTGGGCATGAACTTGCAGTCTTCCTGCCTCAGCCTCCCAGAATGCTTTCTTGCTCTCATGTGCATGAATTTCTCTGGGGCATGCGTCTGGGTGCAAAAATCATTGAGTCCCTGAGGAAGCAGGGCTCATTTTACAATTCACAAACTTAATTCTTTCACAAAACCAAACTGGAACAGAATCGAATCAAATTCAGTGGTTAGATTCATTGTTGACCTTATGGGGAAATGTGATTCGGGTTCGTCCACACTGTAGTCAGAGTCCCCTTCCTTTCAAGGCTCTGTGTACCCACTGCATTTACAAACTACTGTTTCGCGTGTCCATTGGGCCATCTATGGGCGCTTGGGTCACTTCCACCTGTCGGCTGTTGTGAGCAGCACTGCCATGTGCACAGGTGTGCAAATATCTGTTCCTGTTGCTGCTTTCACTTTCTGGTGCCTTTCACAGAGCGACTTCTGACCAGTTCTGTTTGCTAATATTTTGTTTCAAATTTTTACTTCCCTGTTCATGGGTGAATTTAACCTGATCTTTCTGGCTTTGGTTTTGAGGGTGTGTTTTCTCTTTCTCTGTTTTCTGGAAGAGTTCTTGTAATAACAGTGACTTTATTTCTTCCTTGGATATTTGGTAGAACTTGGCCGGAAAGTTGTCTGGGCCTGGGAAGATTTGGATGACTGGATTCATTTCTTCCATGGTTGTGAGGTCAGGGTTTCTCAGTGTCGAGTTAGTTTTGGTGATGATGTTCTAGGGAATGTGTCCGTTTGATCTAAATCCTCAAAGTTAATGGTGTAGGTTTGTTCAAAGTGTCCTCCTGCTATCTTCTAGGGGCTGTAGCGCCCTGCTATTCCCATCATGCCACAGGATTTTCAGACAGGTCAGACTTTCAGAACATCAGCTGTTGCCATTTACTGACTCTTCTGTTTGCCTTCTGTCTCGTTAACTTTCTTTTTTGGGGGTGGGGGGTACCAGGGATCGAACTCAGGACCTTCTGCTTGGGAGCCAGGTAGCAAAACCACTGAGCTAAATCCCCAGCCCTCTGTCTTATTAATTTGTCTTCTATTTACCTCTTATCTTAGCCACTGTCTCATCATTGGGAGAAATACCTGATACAATTTAAGGAAGGAGATTTATTTTGGCTCACGTCTTAGAAATTTCACTCTTGGCCGGGCATGGTGGCGCACGCCTATAATCCTTGTACTCAGGAGGCTGAGGCAGGAGGATCGCTGTGAGTTCAAGACCAGCCTGGGCTACATAGTGAGTTCCAGGTCAGTCTCAACTACATAGTGAGACCCTGTCTCAAAAAAAAAAAAAAAAAAAAAAAAAAAAAAA